TTTCCCTTCAGGCCCTCAGCCACCCTGTCTCCCCCACCCGGCTGTGGATTTGTGTTTAGTAGGTTAACAGCTTGTCTGGTCAGCAAGTTTAGGGCAGCCTTTGGACTCAACCCGCCATCAAGCATGAAAATAAATGTTAATTAGCACCAACAGTCCCAAAACTTTCCCCATTTGACTTATCCTTCTCCACTCCCTGAGAGTAAGGGCTTGAGAGATATTTCTGCAGGACACAACTGTCACTGCCCTTGCTACCAAGAGCAAGCCTATTCCCCCCCCAGTATCCTCATCGCAAAACCCAAATATCCTCATCAGATATATCATGGACCATGAGTCTTGGCTAGAAACTGCATCTCTGTGTCCCTCCAGGGAGGGGCGTGGAGGCTGCCACTCTGTTTCACGATTTCAGTGAGGATTGCTGAGGTTTGGCCCATGGGATAGTTGCATCCAGGAATAATGATTAGCCATAGCTCAGAACAAAATGATTGTATCTATCTGCTCTGTGAGTACACTGTTTAGAATACATTCAATTCAACACTGTTTTCTAAATTTCTTCCTAAGCCTTTAGACCAATAGTGGGGTGATGCGATCTCTGCACAGGCTATGCGTCTTCCAGTGGACTATTCCTTATGATTCTATCAGCATCTCAAAGCACCCAAAACTTCAGTTCTCCAATGCTTCTAAAAACACTGAAAATTACTCTATTGGCTTCCAATATGAAAATGTCAAAGAACAGCTGTGCTTCTGAACACTGGTGACCGTTGATGGATTTTCCTGGTATAATGATAAAGGAAGTTAATTAACATCACCAAACCAAAAGGTGCCAATTGTGCCACAACCTCAAGAAGCCTCCACTGAAGGGCAATACTGTCCTGTACTTGTTAACAAACCACACCAAAACAGAACTCGAGAATTATCCATGACAGCCCAACAGAACTATAGCAGATGACCTCGACTCAATCTGGCCCAGCACAAATTATTTGCAAACAGACAAGCAGAATGCTGAAAAGGCTACTTTTTTCAAATTATTCAGGTAGCTCTATTAAACACATATTTCAGCACAATCAGCAGAGAATCCTTGTGAATTTTGTTGGTTCTCCATGTCTGGCTATAGTCTGTAGGCAGCTGAGAGGAAGTAGATTTCAGATTGCACATTCCCGTGTTTAGTTATGAACATTAAAAAAGGGCGACAAACATTAATGTTCTCAAGAAAGTATCAGAGGAACACTAAACGCTACTTGCTTCCAAAGTCAGCATCTGATAGCCTGGGAGAAGTATGAAACTATAACCTAATTTCATGTGGAAACGCAAACTCGTTGTCTGACAAGAAACAAACAAAAAAACTACGAGAAGTTCAGGAGGGGTTAAACCCAAGGAGCTCTCTTCAGTACGTCCTTTCATTGTGACTAACTGTAATACACAACAGTTTGCTTTCTAAACTGCTGTCTAGGGACATGTTCAGGCCTAAAATATAACACTTTCTTATAGTTAATATAGCAGGCAACTTTCTGCAGGCACTTTCCTCTTGTGGTCCAGTGGAGTCGTTCAAGAAACGTTTTATACATCTTGCAAGCTGTTTTAGTGCCCTAAGTGCACTAAGGCCCAATCCTGAATGCTGCTGGCACTGCAAGATTTATATTCCCTAGCAGATGTTCTGCTTCTCCCAGGATCCTTGTAGGTGAAAATAAACAAAAGCTGAAATTCAGCTCAAATATCTGATGTGTCTGTACGCTTGGAGTACCAGTTAGGGTTAAGGATTAGAGATGGTGGGCCACTCAGAGAATCCTGCAGAAAACCAAGCTGCTCTGGAGAAGACACTGGAAAAGATGAGAAATACCTGCTTTATTAGAAGGAAGGAAGGAAATACATAATACATAGGTAGCATGGAGAAAAAGGAGGAGTATGCATGTTGTCTCATTCTTCTTTCCGAAGAATTCAAATCTGATTTGCACAAAAATGGAAAGTAACTGAGACCAATTTCATAAGTATTTCTTCCAAGCCATCAGCTTCAGTATAAGGAAACTTTGTCCAGCACCTAAAACTGCACTGCCCCAGCAATGCCAATACTGTTCTTCGTGAGACCACACAATGAACTGGATCATGCAACTTATCTCAGTTTAAAGAAATATGCAACTCAAAAAAGGGAGTATTTTTAACCAAAATCAGTTCCCCAAGCACACAGTCTACCAGAAAGCTAAGCCACCATAACAGAGGAGGTGGTGCAGAGGTGGGAACTACTGTAACAAGAGCTGCCAGTGAAAGAAACGCACATGAAAACAATACTGTAAATTCTGTCTGCAGTAAACAATACAATATAAAAAAGCAAAACTAGTGTTTCAAGAAACAGATTTATTTTTTTTAATTAATTGGCCACAGGAGTTGCATCTACTTGAAATGATATTTCACAGTTTATATGTGAATATCTACAACGAATACCTACTCAGTATAGCAGAACCACATTCCACTTTCTGAGAGGTATACATAAAAACCAAGGAAGTGTTCTCTCCAACCATCATGAAGTGTTGACAACTTTAAGACCATGTGGGTGCTCAGTCCTTCAGAAGCTTAGAGAGAGACTTAGAACTTGGTCCTGAAGCAGAAGTATCCAACATCTCTGAATAACATCACCTAGTAAATAATACTTTTTAGAATGATCCATCAAGTTAATGTGGAGAAGAAACTCACACTTGCTTGCCTCATGCAAAAAGAAAAACTGCAAAAGAAAGGAAATTGGGGGTGAGGGGTGGAATCCAGGGTACCTTTTCCATCATACTATTTAAAAAAAGATAAATTAATTCATGTACCTATTACCAGGTACCACAACCACTGTGGGACCTGTAAGAGTTGTTAAGCAAGCAGTTACCTATTGTGGGTTTGTTTGGGGGCTTTTTTTGGGGGGTGCGGGGTGTGTGTGTTTGGTTTTTTTCCTTGTTGTTGGTTGGTTTGGTTTTTTGTTGTTCTTGTTTTGGGGTTGTTTTGTTTTGTTTTTTTCTTTTTTTCCCCAGGTTGTGAAGGAACTAATGGCAAATACATTTGGTTTGTTCCTGGTTTCTATGATGCCCTGGGTATTGTGGAATGTCCACTCCAACAAAGCTAGGACTAGTTCTGAAGCCTAAAACTCTTGCACTGTGCTCTGTGGGTCAGAAAAGTTCATTTATTAAAGTTGCTAGGACACAGAATACAAGCAAGAGCAAGATGTGGTAGGTGAACATATGTAGAAAGTAGTTTATGCCGCATTTTATGTTGAGCGGTCTGTAGTTAAGGGGGTGTCCTGCAGGGAAGATCTAAGTACTTTATTCCTCCACCGGCCTTGAAGGGTGTTACTAAAAGCGCACTCATGGGACTATACACTGAAAGAGGAAAATTTTACAGGACACGGCATGTCATTTGTCAGCCTGTCAAAGATTCAAAATGACACAGTCCTGTCCAATTCTATTTTCTCCCTCCTAATCTCATGCCTGGTTTGTTTTTTTCCAACAGAAATGAACACTTGCACTGGACATAATTGCATGAAGCTGGTCTGAATTATATGAGCGCTGAAGTTGAAGATGAAATAATCTTAGTTTGATTTCACATTTAAATTTAATTCACAGAGTGCCAAACATCTCTTCTGCTTTTCTATGATAGAGACTGTTTATGACTTCATATTACATCAAGTATATAGATACATTTACGCTTACCATAAGGTTTTTCTTCGGTTACTTTTCCTGTAGCATCTAATGTATCAGTAGCTTTGCCCAGTAGTCCAATGGCAGTGTACTTCTGGGAAGGAAAAAGAGAGATTAGTGAGTCAAGTCTTCAAAGTTGGTGGGTTTTTTGTGTTTTTTTTTTTTAAGTAAAGACTGCAAGTACAAGTACTTCAAATCAGGACAGGAAGAACACTATCTGAATAGTCAATCCAGCAACTTAGAGTAAGCAAAAGTAAAGATGGAAAGACATGGAACTAAACAAAAAGTAAATCCTGCATTACATGTGTCTATGATTTCAGTTTTAGAAACCCCAGGAAGAAGGAACATGGAATCTATTTTTTACTATAAATACATCAATACCATACAGAAAATAATAGGGTGGTAAAATCAAAGTCTCTGTGGGGTGTCATATGTCACTGTTGAAGGCACTGAGAGTACCTTTCACATGCAATGTTTCTGTTCCTTCACAATTTAAAAAAAAAGACACAAAGACCTTTACCTCTGAAAGCAAAACAACCACTCCCAAGGCAAAGTATTAAAACAGCTCTGCCATGATATGGAGCAATATACAATAGTCTAAAGCTGGAGTTTTGAACACGTGGAATCTGGTAAGGACCTTGTGACCAGCACAAGGAGCGCAAGGCCCCGGAGTGACATCTCTACTATCATGGGTTCTCCAAATATTTCTGTTTCAGGGTTTTTCCTTACACAGTTCTTCAGTGTATGCGTCTGTAGTTTGCAAGAAGGAATTAGCCCGTTCCCAGGCCAGTAACTCTTGTCCTTACTGCATTTCATCTGCTGTCCTTCTTTTCCATGTTTCCACCCTAAGTACTGCCAGGCTGTGGGTATACAGCAGAATCTGCTGAAGCTAACAGAAGGCTTCCCATGAACCAGCTGCCTCATGTCTTTTCACAAGGCTACCAACATGTAAAGAATCACTCTGTAACTTGAGTTTGGGTCCAGTTTGGAGATACCTTCAGGTACTAAAATCTGCGGTTTGACCTCCTGCCTATCCCTTTCCATTCCATTTCCTTCAGCCCTATGTTAAGCCCAGGAGCCATCAAAGTAAAATATTTACACAGCCTGGAAGAGAAAAATCAAGACATCAAGGTGCTCCACATGCCTAATTCCCAGTGAGGTTTCAATGAACTTGCTCCCAACTAAGCTAATACAAATTTGAACCAAGTTGTAAAAGGATGTATCTTCTAGAAGTTGGTTGACCAAATTCAGAACACATCCAAATAGGTATAAGCACTAACATCTTACTCTTTAATACAAGGCATCCTTTTCCATTTACTTGTGAAGTACAAACAAACTCAAGTAATAATAGTGTAGGCATATAAATCACACCTACCAAAGGGGACTACTAACAGATATCTTGATTTTGTTCTGTGTGTCAACTGACCACTTGAATGTATTTATTCAAGCAACTGCCATGAAATGGAAGCAGCAGGAACAGTCAGACAAAAGGCAGTGGAGTGCAGACTTTAATATACAAACAACTGTATTCCTTGCTTACCACATTAAGGCTACCTTTTTCCTAAATACTGCAGATGTCTGAATCCCCTGACAACTCTCCACAATTAGGCATTTTAAACCCAAATTCTTGAAGTTTACATACTTTTGGAATGCATGGAAAAGAGATGAAAGGAAGAATGGATAAAAGCTGCTCCACAACAAATATTTAAATAAACTTTAAAGTATATTATCTGCTTTTAGAACTATAAAATTGCCTGCTTTCTGAGACATTTAATCATCTAGTTCTTAACCTTTAATAGCATAGCTAGAAAGAGACACTATTCAGCAACTATTCTAGAGGTTAATAAAAAAATGCGAGCAGATCTTTGTAATTCTAGCATGATGAATGATCTTAGCAATTCAGTTAAACTCTAAATCTGAAAGTTTGCGACCTCACACACCGTCTTCAGATGTTTCTAAATTAAAGCACTAATACTACTTCAGTTTGAATTACTTTCTTCCTCTTAATTCTAGTGTTGGCTATCTTGCTTCAGGCTGTCTGTTACAATAACATGGAGAGATAGTATCACTTGTTTATATATAAACACAAACTGTAAGAACAACACAATCCAAATCCCAACACTTGACTTCCCCTTTAATTTCTGCAAAAAGGGCAAAAAGCCATCCAGTTTGTAAAAAGAGCATCCTTAAAAATTAATCACAAATCCTCGTTCCGTACAGGGGCCTTTAAAGAGTCACAAAAGACTCAAGTCAGCAACGCAATAGTCCACAAAGAAGGCTATAACAGGTCAGGAAATTAAGAATTACAGTTGGTTTATGATCAGTCTCTGGAGTGCCCTTGGGTATCTACAATTATATATCATAATTCTTACTAGCCAGTTAATAGGGTTTATTTCCCCTTTGTTAGCGTGCAGGACCTGGAGCTTGTAGAAGATAACATGAGAGTCCAGCTTTAATCTATTGTTCCTCTTATTTTGTGTCAAAATTCAGCATTAACTCTCTTTAGACTCTAACTCATACTGCCCTCAGAAGCGCCCAATGGATTCTGAGTCACTTAATAAGTCTTTGGTGACCTTTTCTCACCCGCGTTGGCAATCATTTATTTCTTCCAGATTTATAAAATACATCTAGGGACCTTCCTCCTGTACTCTTAAATTACAAATCACTGCAGGAACAGAGACAGCAACTGCTCACAACCACACAGCCTTCAACCCACTCAACCTGAAACAAAAAAAGCAAGGTAGTAGGTGTTGCAGGCAGTGGAAAAGCCTAGCAAGTGCAGACTGTGACAGGAAACGTCCCTGTATCAGCAGCTCATCAGAGAACACGCTGCCAATCAATAGCCCCTCTGTCCTTGCCCCCTACTCATCTCAAGAGACCAGGACCCAAACCATTTAAAGATTAAAAGCAGTGCCTCAGCTTCCCTATGGGATTCCACAACATGCAAGTGTAGCACATTAAAAGCTAAGATCAAACATTCCCAGTCACAACTTGCAAGCACTGCAGTATTGGGCATTAACTCCAGCTTCTAACGGTGGTCTGCACGGTCCCAAAGCAGAGCCTCACAACTGTACAACAGTACACCAACCCTGAGGGCATACAGACCTTCCCAAAACTATCTTGCATTAGGGAACAGCTACATCTCTCAGCCATCTAGAAAACCATTTTCTTGATGTTATGGCAACTGAAACAAAAGGCAGCAACGTGATCAGAAGCCCTCAAGTATAAGCAACTCTTTCATTCACATTAGTGAGGAGACAGCCTTAAGAAGATGCTTTACAGTGACAAACCACTGGACTCAGTCAATGATGATGTAATGCAAAAACTCTGTCACATGGACTGGGGGACATGGTGGATGTTACCTCAACAAGACCAGAAAGTCAGGGAAGTGCCCCAGCTGCCATACATTACTACCATACTCATGACTAGAAAGAAACATGCCATAAAAGCCAAAACTGGAAAAAGAACAGGAAGACAGCGACCCCTAAGAAACAAATTACAAACCCTCTAATAAATCGCACAGATCTTGGGAAGAAGAATTTTGTTTGAGAGTCACCAGGGCACAGTGAAAATTCTCACAAACAATAAACCACACAATGTTTACCATAATGTTTTATTAAGAGAATAGCTATCATTTGCCTTTTTCATTTCATACTCAGTATCAGAGAAATCCTTATAGTAACACAGAAGGGGAATGTATATCCATAGAAAGAGAGAGAAAAAGCCAAGACTTCATCAGTATACTTATTTAACTGTGAAAGCAGGAAGAGGAGGAGAAGGAAGAAGAATCCCCTCCCATTAGAGGGGTTGTACGACCCCATAGCTACGAGCTGCACAACCCACCCGGGGGGGCTCCTGGAGGCTGAAGCCCCTGGGCTGACTGCCAGGCATGTCTGCCCCACTTATCAGTGCAAATGCCAGACAGACCATGGAATGGAGCTTCTCAGTTTTAACTGTTAATATATCAAAGTTTTATTTGGAAAGAAGCCAGGGACTTCAAATCTTGAATTATAACACGTTTTAAAAGCTTTTTCAAACATCGAGAAGCAACACTTTGGAAGAGCTAGACAGAAACACAAGTAATTATGAAATAAGGTCACTAGTAGCTGTCAGGAAGATTTTAAGATGGCTCCCACTGCAAGAATTTCCCAGGCAAGCGAGCTCTCTGGAAGAGGCAGTTCATAAGAGTTCATCCAAGGATGACCCATTTTCTAATCACAGCAGCAACTGAACACAGAAGTGTAAAAGGAAAATAAATAAATAAAGGCTACAGTCCCTTGAGCAAGAGACTGAAAGCTGGGAAAGAGAAGCCATATTCGACAGAAACAGAAAGTCAATTTATGTAAACTGATGCCTGCATGTGGCTGACAAGTTTGAGGGAACATAAAACAAAACAAACAAACAAACAAAAAACCCAAAAACAAGTACTCTAGAGACCCTGAAGGAAATCAGAGTGAGCACACAGCAGGCAGGCACTGCTCAGAATTAGTGCTCCTGTGCCTGATCCATTCAGCCTGCACGCTCGGTGCGAGCACTTAGATTTTTGTGACTTAGGCCACTGAGATAGCGAAGAGGCCTTTAACTCTCAGTTTTACAGTGACATTCTGTTTGTGTGTAATGATTTCTAAAGCACAACTAAGATGCTCTGGATTTAATATTTACATAACTTGTATTTGCTGTTTGTATAACATCAACAACTAGCTACCAGTGGTTTCCAGTATGCGAATCATTCACCAAAACTAGAGAAGTACACGAGGTAGACAAATAAGCTGGAAAAAACCCTGAGGGTTGCCATAGTTTCAATTATTTTCCAAAACAAAGCACTCTCACTAAGCAGATTCCAATATATTAAAAACACAGAGCCCTAATCTCTTACAAGCAGGTTGCAGAGAGGCAAAATAAAGACCTGTAGGATGAGGGAGGAGTTCCATATTTTACAACAGAGCAAATACAAAATTATCAAACACCAAACATGTCCTCTTAATATACACAAACATTACAACTTCTCTACCACTCATTTTTTTCTCCTAAAAGAAAAAGCTGACTTTGTGCTAAGCCTGCACTAAATTTCATTTACTGCTAGATGCTGTAATT